CTAGGTATTCAGTAACTATCATTATAGTAAGTTGTAGTACATATCTCAAACTGGATAAATATTACTCATTATGTAATCAGACTACAAGGTAACTTTCAGGTAAATATCATTATGTAAGTTTGTGTCATATCTCAAACTGGATAAAATATTACTCATTATGTAATCAGCTACAAGGAATTTCTGGTAAATATCATTATGTAAGTTTGTGTCATATCTCAAACTGGATAAAATATTACTCATTATGTAATCAGCTACAAGGAATTGCAGGTAAATATCATTATGTAAGTTTGGAAAGAATTTGTTGAATCACTGATCAGAACTAAAATTGTGTAAAAAAAAGACAGACAGACAGAAAAAAATAAATAAACAATCTCATTTTGAACGAGCTACTTGGTAATAAATATGAAAATTATAACTTAGTATATAAATGTAAATTTTTTTTTTTTTTATAAGTTAATCTGATATAAATATCCATCTTTTTAACAACATAGTCAATTTTGAAATCCATAATGAATTATTTTAAATGTTTATGTTGAATAAGAATCTACAAAAGTTGCAAAAAAAAATTAATGTATTTCAATATTCTTTAAACACACAATTAATAATTTCCAACTCCTAGGAAACTTTTCCTGAAAGCAACTTCAATTAGTTGTAGACTTTTTTTATAGAATGTGACAGAGATATGATAAAAGTCACATGTTCTAGTGCAGAACAAAACAGCGACTGTAACACTTTCTTTTCACCACATACGTATCTTCCTATTTCTATGATGTTCAAAAAATAAAGTGTGATACAAAAATTAATCAATTTGCAAATAAAATGTAATAATGGAAATAGGATTTAAAGATCCATAATGTTTGGAAGTGTTTTCTTAAATATCATTTGAAAAAAAATTGTGGCTTTTATTCAAGCAATGTTCTGCTACTCCAATATAATTCAAGCATAATCATTTCACCATTTTTCTGTTTTAACTTGTAACAAAACTGTGTAGATAAAAACACATGAACAAATAAGATGAATTAATGTGCCATGAGGCATATTAAAGTTACTCCTCCACCAAGAAGGGAATAAAATATACAAATACATGCTTTTGTGTCTGGCAATACAAAAAAAAATACTCTTGAAAACCAAAAATTAAAGGTGGTGGTATTAGCTATAAACAAAAAAAAAAAAAACAACAACCTAAAATATCATTATGCTAATACAAAAATCTCTAACTAAATAGATTGTAAAAGCCAATAAAAAATTTTTAACCATAAGTACAAACACACAAAACAAATATTTTGAATGTAATTTTATAAAATTATGAGAAAACTACAGCTAAGAATGTCTTTTAAAGATGAAAAACGTCCCCCTTTTACATTAATACTATTGAATGCAAAAAAAAGATTGAGAAACAGAGCATAATGCTTTATATCTCTTGCATTTACCTAAAGTATTGTAATAAAATGTTGAGAATACCCACACAGCATAAAATGAAATAAAAGTATTATAATTATTGTAATGATAATTATTCCATTGGTTTTATTTCTGCTAATTCTTAAAAAATGTATAAGTAAAATACTAACATTTAGTAATCAATAAAAAGTTATTATTAAGTAAATATTATTTCCTTTTTTTATATGTTTACAATATCTGATAATTTATTAAATAAAAATAGTAAATTTTAAAATTATTGTACTTTCATATGTGTAATAACTTATTTAAACAAATTATGAAATCAAGCACAGAGAAAACTTTTCAAGTCTTGAATGAGAAAAGATTCAATACATGTTTAATGATATAAAAAAAACATTTATAACTTTTATATTAAGAGCTATTCTACCCAAAAGAAACTATTTTACTCTTTACCAAACAAAAAAGACCTCAAAATTATTAAGTTATTTAAATCAAACTTTATTTTAGTTTATGTACCATTAATTTACAACACAAGTATAGTGTTTTCGTGATTTCATTTCATTGCAACGGGATGTCCGTTCGCATACATTTGAATGCTTAAAACCTATATAAAATCTAAACTAGATATTAAAACATTAAATTCAAATGGATGAAACTTTCATAATTTGTGATATTGAATAACATAATTTTTACCGATACTAAAATTTCCAGGAATATTATAGAAAAATCTGTGTCTAGAATAAGTCATAAATTTTTTCTTACTTTTATTTTATTTAACTTTGGCATAATCTTTTAATCGTGTTTTATTACAGAATACATTACTGTAATCAAATATTAAGTAAACAAAAAACCCATAAAATTTTTAAAACTTTAAGTTATTCAAACATATCAACTGTTGAATAGGCCTAATGAGAAGATTGCTATACATTTTACTAATATTAATAATAATATCAAGTTTTGAATATTAATTATCAATATCAGGCCAAATTCCCGAAACTAACAAAGGCAACAACTGTAACCATACAAACGAAGTATTTCCGTTAGCCTAACTCAAGTGATATAGATTAAGATTATACCGCTACTAGCTTGATAACTTGTTCAGTTATTGTCACTAACAATAACATAGTTACTAACCTGAGTATTAACATTGCGATCAGATAAGTTTCTTCACGACGTAATACACAAGATTACACTTTGAACTCAACGCAACCAAACATTTCGTCATGTAAAATGTGCTGTACGTTCATGTTCTTTGCTCAACTACCAACCTAGACAAAACACTTTCCACGTTTGAATGGTTGCCTTTTCTTTGCTGTTTTGTAAATGAAGGCTGAGAGCCATACCTTTGGCGCCATCTTACGGTCTTCTATTACGTTACTCTAAATCCCTTTACCCCTCCTTCTGTTGAGGGCAACAAGAAAAACAAAGCAATCATATAACATTTTGTGATTTCAAATTCATTTAAATTAATTATATGAATAATATAACTTGCTTTGCATAAATTCATATCCATTTTATTTCTGCAACAAATTTTTGATACGTTATATTAGTGGGCATGGTATTTTTTCTTAGTAATGTTGCATCACTTTTTCATTTCAATATTATATGAATATTAAAAACATAGGCAATATTATGATTCTTTGTATGATATAAACATTATATCAAGTTTCTATGTAAAAATATAGGTTACATAGCCGAATTTTCTTTTATTGGTGTCTTTAGTAACTCAAAATTAAATCTAAAGCTAATCTCACGTGATAAGTTCTCTGTTTTCTTTTTCTCTCCCCCCCCCCCCAGTGGCACAGCGGTATGTCTACGGACTTACAACGCTAGAATCTGAGTTTCGGTACCCGTGGTGGGCAGAGTACAGATAACCCATTGTGTTGCTTTGTGCTTAACTTCAAACAAACATAAGATTAGTATACGCAATATGAGATATTACGAAATATTACGCACTACTAACTGGAATCAAAGAAAGAAATGGTTATTATATTTCTTTTTAAAGGGCCCGGCATGGCCAAGTGGTTGGGGCACTCGACTCGCAATCTGCAGGTCGCGGGTTCTAATCCCCGTCCCACCGTACATGTTCGCCCTTTCAGCCGTAGAGGCATTATAACGTCACAGTCAATCACACTATTCGTTGATAAAAGAGTAGCCCAAGAGTTGGCGGTGGGTGGTGTGACTAGCTGCCTTCCCTTTATTTTTTCACTGCTAAATTAGGGACAGCTAGCGTGTAGCTTTGTGCGAAATTCCAAAACAAAAAATATTTTTCTTTTTTTCATTTCTGTAATTGGGTTTTAGTTGTATGTTTGTTTGTTTGGAATTATGCACAAAGCTGCACAATGGGCTATCTGTGCTCTGCCCACCAGAAGTATCGAAACCCGATTTCTAGCGTTGTAAGTCCGCAGACATACTGCTGTGCCACTGGGAGGGGGGCTTTGTTGTATGAAGAATCAAATGAAAAAGTATTCTGAGCACATAACACAACTGAAAGTAACTATACAGAGACGTTAACATAAAAAAGTATGTACAGTATCAAGAGCACGCTATCTACAAGTATTTTTAATCGTTACTCATAAGTACATCATGGTAACCAGTCCAATACAAACTATCACTAAGGGTACACAAAAGAATACAGAAACAGCACCAAAAATCGACTGTCAAACAAATCTGACTGAGCGATGGGCTATTCAATCAAATATAGACGCATTTTCCGGCTGATTTCTCGACTCTGTCAATTCATATGTACATTGGCATTCAGAGTATGAGTTTCTTCTTCTTTTTCTATTATGTAGCTCTTAAACGGAAGTACAATATAGTCTGCTGAATCACTAGCGTGAAAAGGAGTATTTCAACACTGTTAGTGGAACGTAACGTTATCAAATGCGTTAGTTTCAATGGACATACTAGTATGCTTATCTGAAAAACTACCCTAGACAAATGGGAGGTTTGGATATAAAGTCATAATATTCGATTGAAAAATAAAAATAAACCAATTCTAGAACGTGTAGTATTGAAGAATATAATAGATAAAAGTAGAATCAGTATGTACAAAATAAGAAAACCTGAACCAAAAATGTATATTTAATAACACTAAAAGGAAAAGAAATTTTTAAGTTTTTCAATCGACATTATCTCATGCATATTTAATAGAAACTTCTGTTTCTTTGGATTCTCCGCAGAGATACTCGAGGGCTATCTGCGTTAACCATTTTCTAACTCATTGGCGTAGGAAACGGGAGTGGACCTCCAATTTTCAACATGTACCAGTAAAAATGCATCAAAATTAGGAAAATAACTTCCGGGAAAAGCAGGAGAATGCATAAAACTTAATCCAGAACCCAAGAGCTTCCAGAGCCCTAAGGCAAGCCCTCGACCCGGGCTGTAATAGATACGCCTATGGCGCACATTCCCTGACTTCACTCGGTCAAATAAACCTTGGACTCTCCCCTTTTAATTTGCCTCCTATACCTCTTCAACTAATCAAAATTACCCACCGCCAGCTCTCGGGCTACTCTTTACCAATGAATAGCGGAATTGGCTTAGTGTAGAAAGCCTTTGTGTAACTTTGGGCGAATATCCATGACAAACAAATACATACTATCAGTTATCGAAAATTGTAGACATCAAACTTAACAATCTGGCATTCTTTTTTAATCATCGTAACTCTATATGTAAGTATGAGTAGAAGTTATTGTACTAATTCTTAGTAGTGAAAACGTGTCAGTACTCCAAAATACATAATTAACTGTCTGTGCTATACGAGTGTAATGAACAGGATAAACCTACCTAAAGTTCATGCTTATTTTTTTATTTGCTTCTTACAACTTGGATATTTTCAACCAGAACGACATATTATGCTCATGAGCATTAAACGGCCAGTACAGAAGTCTTGAGGTTTG